AGAATGCATTTCTGAGTGGTAACATTGGGAGTTACCTTTATAAAAGGAGTAACGTGATAAATATATCACTGTAATATATTAACTAATTCCTAAAATAACTTTTGCTCTGAACTTTAAAGCAGAAATGCAATTAATGAGTATAATGGAGTTTTGAAGTCTCATATGAATTGTATTTATCCACAGTTTCCTTTTGGTCTCATCAACCTTCAGAATCTAGAATATCGCAAGTACTAAAAACTATACACATACTAGATTCTAAGAAAGGGTTTCAACTATGTTCCACCTGCCTTCACTAATGTGTAAAGGGGAAACGGAGACCTCGGCTGCCAGCGCTTAAAATTATAATATGTCAACATGAAAAACACTCACAGTAAGGTCTCCATCTGCATGTATCTGCCAAATTTGTTATTTACCGCATTTCTGTCCCAATAATTGTGTCTCTAGCTCTCTTTAAAAGTGAGGCGATTGTTTAATTAAGGGATAATTGTTTCCCAGTGTGAATTATCCATGCATGATATAATTTTTACCAATATATGATGTACTTAACCCATATGCACAGCGACTAAATGGTGATTGGGTTAAATGGAAACATTGGTTTGATTAGGTGATGGGATCATAGATAAATTCTGCCCTATGTTTCTTGCTAATTTTCTGTAATAAGTTAAAATACATACATATTTTTTAAAGATCTCATGCCTGGAAAAAATATTCATGAATTTATCATCTTTATACATTATATTTTAAGAAACTTTTTTTTGCTATGATGATAGTGAAATAATAAATATCAAACAAAATAATGGAACTTTTATATCTGCCATCTCATTTCATCAGTGCAAAATTAACAGCCGCAATGGGAACCACCATCTGGGAGGTGTTTTAGACAGCACCATTTAAATTCCTTTTGGAATTTGACGCGCACAAGTTATAAGAAAAGATCTGGAGAGAACAGTCCATTTAAAAGGAAACAGAGTGTCTCGGTTTGCTCACAAATAGCAGTCCTTTAGGAGACGTATGGCTTTCTCAGTGGGGAAGGGTGACACTTAAATCCATCCTGTGAAATGCACTCATAATTTCATGTAGCCTCAGCACTCCATGCGCCCCCCCCAACTCCCACTTTCAGGTTGCCCTTGATCATCGCCAGTTTTCTCCTTAAAACTGTTCACCAAAACCACTAGATGCCCAACGAAATTATTCATCATACTTTAAAATAACCAGCCTTGAAGTGACAACATGTGCCCACATGTACCTACCTCTGCAAGCCATCCCCTCTAAGGCCTATCTTAGGAAGTGTGTGGAGCAATAGATGCCTTTCAGAATTGCCCTGGAAGATCCTAAGGTGTCCTAATTAGGCAGAACCTTTTGGGCCCTCCAGCAGGTGCGTCCTCAGTAGCACTTGTTCAGCCCTCAGCTCTAGTATCACTTAGAGTTAGCTGTTCACATGTCTGCTTCCCTCCCCAGATCGCTAGCTCTCTGAGGGCAGGGACTATGCATTCCTATCCTTGTAATCCGGCATCCAGCCCTGGACTGAGAAGTCAGTAGGCTTAAATATTTGTTGTATCAAGGAGTTGATTGGAAAAGCATAGATTTGGAAGCAAGCATGTATGAAATCCAATCCTGGCTTTATCTACTATGTGGTTTGGGGTGAGTTTCTTAACCTTTCTGAGCCCTGGTTTCCTAAAAACAGGTTACAGTAGCCAATTGACAAGGAGTTAGGAGGTTGATCATGGGAAATATAGGAAGAGCATATTGTAGATTCTATGTACTCTGGTTCTTACTCCACAGGTGTAACGGACCTTCGCTGTGCATCAGCAATGCACCTGAGACCTGAGCTGGGTGCAGAAGAGCTGAAGAGAGGAAGGCTGTCAGGCCTAAACTTAGGGTGGATCAGTCACTAAATGGTTTCATGCCCCTCATTTCTTCTGCATGGGTCTCCTTACCCTAAATATGAGAAAGTGCCTAGTTTTCCATCGCTCCTCTTCTTCATGCCATACTATCAGCAGTACCGTAGTCTTTCTTCTCTACCGCATTGCTAATACTCAAGAATATTTCACAATTATGGAAGTGATGATGTCATATCCCAGTGGAATAAGAATCAGGAAAGCCTCTCATCCTAAAAGTACAACGTAGCATGCTTTGTTATTACAATTAGATAACTATTCTTTATGAGAAAAAGCAGTTAATTGGAGTCAGCCACAGGGAGAGTGGATTCAGATGTTTTCTGGGGCGCTTAAAAGTATATCCAACGGGACTCTGCTCACTGCCAGAAGTGAGCTGATTAGGAAACTTAAAAGATTTGTTAGAACAATGAACTCCTTTCTAAACATTCTTCAAACCTACCTTAAGCAAGAGAGGAAAAGAAAATGGTACCTTAAAAGAACTGCCCAGTGTCAGCTGTTGATGGCCTGTGTTAATAGGATGATGGAAAAGTCCCAGCATGTGGGTAATTTTTCAAAAATCCATTTAGCTTAAAAAAAAATTTAGCTTTGACTTTAAAATACATAGTTAATGTGTGGCAATATTAGGGTGAAAGTAGTTTTTCCCCGTGTATATTACCTGTTAAATGTTAGGTAGGGGTGTGTGTATGTGTGTGTGTGTGTAGTAAGCACGCATATATATGAATGCATATGTACATGTGCACATGCGTGTTTACAGATTGACAATCTCTAAGCTCAAAAGGGAAAACACTATTAACTAGTAAGCTTTGCTTTTCAATTAAAACATTGTGTTGATAAGTCATTGTTGAAGTGGGCCATTGATTGAAGGCTCTCTTGAAGACAGAGGTTTGGTTTTTTAATCAAATATTTTAAGTTCCTACTATGAGCAAAACATTATGCTGTGGGTGAGGCAGAGGCACAGCTTGTCCCTTGACTTTTATGTGTTTGAAGGTTTTCAGGAATCCTCAAAGTCTGGGCAATTTCATTTCCTTCAAAAGTAACATGAATCCTTTCCACTTTCACTAGCATGTTGAACCTCCTACCTATGCTTAGTTCTAGGCCCAATTTTCTTCTCACCCTCTCCCAAGACTTCAGTTGCTATCTAAAAATTCTATCTCCTAAATGTGTACCTCCAGCCCACTCATCTGTTTTGAGCACCAGACTCAGTCCCACATTAAATCTCTGCTTGGATGTAGATGGTACCCAAAATTCAGTGTATTCAACTAAACCTGGAAGTGCCATCTAAGTGAAGTTACCACCATCCATCCAGTTCCATGACACTTCCATCTCCTTCATTCTCTATATCTAGTCCACCACTAAGTCATGCTGATTTTCTTGGATAAAAATCTTTTAAATCCACGCACTTCCTCTCCTTGTCCATAGTCACCACTCTAGTCTGGATCACCATGATCTCTTGCATGGATGACTGCAGCAGACCACCTCTCACTGGCACCCCTCCATCCCCTTTGGCTCATCTCTAATTCTCTTTTTCAAAATGCAAATCTGATCAGGTCACCCCCTTTACATAAGGCCATTTAGCAAGTTTTATTGCTCATAGACAAAAATCCAGAATCCTCAATGTGGCCTCCAACACCTGCATGGCTCCCTTGACTGTATGTATACATTCCTGCCGAAGATTCTGGAATAATCTTCACCTGATTTTATTCTGTTAACTTCTGCCTTCTTTCTAGACCTTACCCCAAGTGAAACTTGCATGGGAATGCATCTGCTGGCTCCTTAAACTGCCATAGTACAGTATACCTGTCCTTTATAGCACTTACCACAATGTGCAGCTGTGAATTTAGTTGTATGATTACTGATTATCATCTCTCCCCACAGGACTGTAGGTCCACAAGAGAGCAGACCATGTCTGTTCGCTCTTTAGTGTATTCCTAGCAGGAGAGCTGGCAGGAGCTTTGTTCTGAAGGATTTCCCAAGCCTAGTTAAGCTATTTGGAATTCATCTTTAAGGCAATAGAAGGTTTGGTGGATTTTAAGCAGGGGAGCAATGTGATTAGATGTACACTGTGGAAGAATCACTTTGGATGAGGTATAGATAAATCCAGACAAATACTCCTGAAAGAGAAATGAGGCAAAGTCACAGTAATGGTAGATCCTTGCCATTTTTTCTCTATTCTACTTTTCCTATCCCTCCTTTCTAAATCCAGTGAGATAAATTACCCATAGAACCTCTCAGATGCTTGGTCATCATAAAGTCATGTGACTGCTGGTTGAGTTCCTAAGTATATGCTTGACACTAGGAATAATAAGATGATTCAGGCCCAGTTGTGTATTCCCAGCCCACATCTCCCACTCTGATGGAAGAGACTGCTCAATAAGAAGAGAGTATGATCCAGCGTGGAAAGTGCTGCAATGGGAGTTTGAATGGAGTTCTCGAATGCAGAGAAGGTTATAACTAAAACAGTTCCCTGGTGGGGCCAGAAAATGCCTCACAGAGGAGGTGGCATGCGAACTAGGATGAACTAGATAGGAATGGTGGATTGTATCAAGTAGACACAAATGAGGGAGCATTGTAAGTGTCTGGAATAGCACATGCAAAGGCCCAGAACTATGAAAGGGCACAGCATACTGGAGAATGGCTTTAGCTCTGTGATTTCACAGCTGTAGAGAGGATATGTGGGGATGGGGATGGGGAAGGTGGTAGGAGAAGGGAAAAGACAGGTGCATGGGGGCCGTATTGTACAGGGCCTGGTGTTCTTAATTCAGGAGTATGAGTATCATCCTGTGAGTTGCCAGAAATCATGAAACCACTCCTAATATCTCTGGATTAAAAACCAATTCATGAGGAAGCACTTCATCTGAAGGGCCTAATGGTTTATGAGGAAAACAATGACTGAGCCAATAAGAGCGACAATGTCCTGAGCCCAAGAAACACAAGAATGATTATGGTCCTGAGAGGAAAAGTGGAATCTGGGCCTCTGAGGGAAGAGAGGGCCACGGATCTAGCAAGCTGGCCAGGGCCTGCCCCTAGGAGACTGAGTAGTAAGCCGAGCCACACACTCTTGCATGCTCCACTGCTCCAAGATTCTGGGTTTGTGTTTTGCAGTTCCATGGAGAATGGGAGGCCGCCAGATCCTGCAGACTGGGCCGTGATGGATGTTGTCAACTATTTCCGAACAGCAGGATTTGAGGAGCAAGCTAGTGCTTTTCAGGAGCAGGTAAGTCGGTCCAGAGAAACCCACAATGAACACAGTTACCTCTTCCTCGTGGCAGGCAGAGGGAGCAAGGAGGAAGAGGACCAGAGAGCAGTGAGGGATCTATGAGGCTCTGCATGTCCTCTGCATAAACACCCATCATGCTGGACTGCTGAGGAGGGTGGGAAAGAGGAGAAGGAAAGTGACGAGCAAATGATTCCTTCCTGAGAGAGGGGAACCCAATCCCTGGGACACAGTCTCAGCTGCAGGAAGGAGGGCTAACACTCATTTACATCTGCATCTGCTGAAAGATGGGACGGCTCTACCTTCACCACAGACACACTGGAAAGCAGAAAGTGAGAGGAAAGGGAAATGAGGGGTAGATCTGACTAGAGACATACAGCACTGTCCGTTACCGGTCCCGGCACCAACTGAGCTAGGAAACCCCCTCCAATTTGTGTTCCAGGTACTTAACAAGGTAGAGTGGAAAGAGTAGATTTAGAGTCAAATCCTGTTTCTTCTAACTCTGTGTGACCCTGGGCGAGTTCCTATCTCTCTCTCTGAGTCTTGCTTCACATCAATGCCCAACTTGATAGGTGGTAGTGTGAGGATTAAGGGACCTTGTCCACACAGTGCCTAGGGTAGGTCCTGGTACAGTGTTGATGTCCCCAAAGTGCTAGTTCCCTTCCCTTGGATCCAGGGTTCATATTGGAAGGAGGGAGTAGGGGGTCCCTCTCCATTATCTGGGTGTTTCCTGACTCCCATTTTTTAGGCTGGGCCAGCTCTCTAAACATAGTGCCCAAAGGGGCTTTGACCATGAGGAAGCAAATTGAGGGGACATGTTGTGGTCCACACCAGACCAGCTCTATAGGGAAACAGAGATCCTATCTCCCTATCAGTGAAGGCTGTAGTTTTCTAAGCATTACGTTTACTTCTCCGGTTTTGTAATATAATCAGTAGAATTATAAATTGAAGAATGTGTCTGGCTGCTTCTTCCATATCCATTTAGCTCTCTTATTCTCTTAAGCCGGGTTTGGCTAGTGAAACTTTATATATATATATCTCAATCTCTAAATCTCCTTCAATATTTTCTTCAAACCTGATCTCTCTCTTTCTCTCTCATTCTCTCTCTCTCTATACACACACACACACACACACACACACACACACACACACACACACACACATAGTTGTTGCTATTGGTAATTTGGAAAATTTGCTGAAATAGCAGCTTAAATCACTTCACACTCACAAGAATAGCTAAAATTAGAAAGATTTATAAATTTAAACGTTCAAGAGGAGGGAGAACAAACACATTTTCCTTTATTGTTGGTGGGGATGTAAAATACTCATACATCTACCCCATGATCCAGCAGTTTAAATCCTGAGTATTTACCCAAGGGAAATGAAAACATATGTCCACAGATTTATCCAGAATTATTCTTAGTGGCTTTATTCATAATAGTCCAAAACTGGAAGCCTAAGTGTTCATCACTGGGAGAATGTGGTAGAGTCACACAATGGAATACCACTCGTAATCCAAAAGAACAAACTAGTAATATGTAAAGCAGTTTGGATGAGTCTCAAAGTATCATACTGAGTAAGAGAACCCTAACAGAGGAGTTCATATTGAACAGTTCCTTCCTATCTTAGCCCATTTGGGCTGCTATAATGAAAATACTATAAACTGGGTAGCTTATAAGCAATAAACATTTACTTCTTACAGTTCCGGAGGCTGGGGATTCCAAGACTAAAGAAACTGTAGACTGGGTGTCTGGTGAGGGCCTGCATCCTAGACAGCTATCTTTTTGCTGTGTCCTCACATGGAGGAAGGGATGAGTGAGCTCTCTGGGACTCCTTTTGGAAGGGCACTAATCTGTATAATCACCTCCCAAGGGCCCTACCTTCTAACACCATAATCAATTATCTCTAATACTCCCTGGAGATTACATTTCAACATATGAATCTTGGGGAGACATAAACATTCAAACCATAGCAATTTCATCTAGATGAAAGTTGAGAACAGGAAAACACATCATTGGTAGCAAGAATTAAACAGTGGTTGCCTCGGATAGGTGGGAGTGGAGAATGGCTGGAAAGCGGCATGAAGGAACATTCTGGGTCCCAGTGAGGGTCTGGGCTACAGGCATCTGCTTCAGTAGAGGTACTGCAGATGCACAGACATGTACAGATGTTACAGATCTATGGGCTACATAGCCATTACATTTTACCTCAAAAGAAAAGGAACTGTAAAAAACATGAAGCAATTAGTCGTAGGCAAACTAAAGTGTTTAGGGGAATACACTGATTTATACAACTTACTTTGAAATGCATCAAAATAAGGGTTGACAGTTGGATAGAAGAATGAGTAGAGGGATAGACATATGATAAAGCAAGTATAGAAAATGTTAACTGTAGAGTCTAGGTGGTGGTCATACGGGTGTTCACTGTATGTTCTTACAACTTCATGTTTGAAATTTTTTTTAATAATATTTTATTTATTCACTTAACAGAGAGAGACTGAGATCACAGGTAGGCAGAGAGGCAGGCAGAGAGGGAGGGGGAAGCACGCTCTCTGCTGATCAGAGAGCCCGATGCAGGGCTCGATCCCAGGACCCTGAGATCGTGACCCAAGCTGAAGGCCGAGGCTTAACCCACTGAGCCACCCTGGTGCCCCTGAAAATTTTTATAATTAAATCATGGGGGGAAAAAGCTCAGGTGGAAAGGTGAAGGCCTATCAGCTAGAACATATTTTATTGTAGTTTTTAGTGGAGTAATATCCATTTGTGTCATTATAGTTGAATAGCTCTCTTCTGAAATTAAATTTAAATAATATTGTAAAAGGTTAACAAAAAAAAAAAAAAAAAAAGGACTTAGCTAAAAGGTCTCTTGGCCCAATTCCCAGCTGTCCAAAAGCATTTTTAAGATTGGGCTTTTATTCAGACTCCTCTGAGGCAGTTGTCCCAGATTGGGTGGGGGGTATCCTTTGGGCCTTCCAGATTCTGTGCAGGACCTCAGAATGGAGCTGGCCAGCTCTGAGCTTGGCCCAGAAATGGACCCTTTCTCCCAGGAATGACATCATTCTGGAGTCAGCAATACTGGGAAGCAAAAGAGAACAAACTCTCCCAAAGGTCTTCATTCAGAAGTCTTTCAAGTGGGGAAAGGGCATCATCTTGCTACTGTGCTGAGCCCAACTCAGGAGCCTGAGAAATGAATTCCCAGGGCACTGGAGTTTTGCAAGCATGGTCTAGAAGCTCAAGCTCCTTCATTCTCATGGAAGGGCAATTGAGTAGAGGAAAGAGTCTCCCTTGAATTATTCCCTGGAAGTGATCCAAATCTTCCTCCTGCAGTGTAATTCTCATCCTCTTTCCTCTTCTCTTTAAAGGAGGTAGAGGGAGGGCAAGGAGGGAACCACTAGTCAGGCTCAGCCTGATAAGACAAGTAGCTGCTGTGATTTCCATGAGGACTGAGAATCAGCATCCTTTACCAGGTTACCCTGCCTCTTCCGTCATCATGCCTCAGAAAGCTTTATGTTTCACCTTCAAGGATCTTCCTGTTAGTGAACCTCAAGCTCACCCTAGGTGGGAAGGCCACCACCCCCAGCCCAAACACGTGACCCTTCCAGGCACATCTTCTAGGTCATGACAACTGAGAAGCTATAAGAAGGACCACATGCTGAAATCTCAAGAAAAACTTTGCCCTGCCATTGGACAGAAACAGGACCCGGCTGGAAAGTACCCTTACACCACCTCGGAAAAGGGCAGGTCCAGAAAATATAGTACAGTTGCCAGTGATATGGGGAGCTTAGTTTCATGGCTAACTGTCGCACGCTGAATGTTTTTGCCCCCTCCCCCAATTTCCCAAATTCATTTGTAGAAACCCTAACTCCCAACATGATGATATTATATGGTGGGCTTTTGGAGATAGTCAGATTTAGATGAGGTCGTGAGTGCGGAGCCCTCATGATGGGAGTAGTTTCCTGAGGAGAAGAGACCAGAGAGCTGTCTCTGTCTTTCTCTGCCATGTGAGGATGCAGCAAGAGGATAGCCATCCATCAGCCAGGAAGAGGGCCTCACCAAGAACCTGACCATGCCAGCACTGTGAGCTTAGACTTTCAGCCTCCAGAACTGTGATCAGAACTTAGAGCTGACTTAAATAGTGTTGTTGATGCTGGACATGTCCACCCTCGGCTGGGCTGAGTTTCAGGAGAATATCTGACTTTATGGTGTGGTCTCACAGTATGATACTGGATGTTCTGTTGCTGTAGCAACCAAACACAGATGTGGCTTTCTAGTAGCATACCTCCCTGGAAGATATCAGGCCACTGAGCGAGGTTAATCCAAAGGGTAAAAATGGCACCCCATGTTTCTATGGTATGAAGCATCTGGTGAAGCTGGTGATCTTTGCATGACCTCCTTTCTTTGAGCAGGGATACTGCCACATGACAATGATTTCCATTAAGTTTCCTTCTGGTGCAATGATCTCTATCAAGTTTTCTTCCGGAAAACCTCTTTTGAGCCTGCAGTGCAAGCCACAACTATAAGCCAAAAGAACTGTCAAAAGGGAAGTTCTAAGCCCCTGCTCACCCCCACCATGACCCAATGTCAGCAGTATGTGCATTTCAAGTTGTTTTACTGTTCTGGCCATTCCCCTTTAAGACCAGTGATATCCCTCTTCCTTCACTCATTGACCTCATTAACATAGTGCTCCAGAGGGTTCACTGGCCAGTAAGAGCAGGAGGCAGTGGGAGTCCTTCCTAGAGGAGGCAATAATGACGACTCTGTCAGTACTCTCTTTCCCATAGACACCGTGGGGTGGTGGCTTTTTTCCCAAGTGTCCCCTGGCAGGCAGATCTCTCATGCTGTGGTGACTCCTAGTTTCTTTTCTCTTGATTGACATTGGTCACTAGAGGATCCTGAAGAGTTTCCCTTTTCAGGACTCAGATTTCTATAACATGAACATTGATGTAAGTAGGCAGAATATTGGTCAAGCTGCTGCATTAATAGCCAAGTGTTAGCTTAGGA